CTGTATAGAAATGATAATTTTCAGAGAAAGACTTTTGATCTACAGAAACTGGTTTTCAGTGTTACTGATATTTACTCTTAATTTATTTATTTTTGTTTACTTTGGTTGCAATAAACACTTATTTTTTTCATTAAATGTTGTTAATAGTTTATTTTAAATTGTGTTTTTGACCTTTACTTGGAGAACCAAAATGGTCTCTTGATCCCTTCCCCATACAAATAACTTTTTTTGTTTTTACATAATGTGTGTGTTTAAACTTTAGAAACAATCTGAGGACTTAAATTAACCAGTCAACATGCTGTTTTTATTTAATTTAAATTTAAAATGTGTAAAATGTTTTTGTACCGTTGCTTAACATAGTAAAATTTGTTGGATGATACCTGGTCTCAATAAAGAATGTATATAACTATTTGTAAAATGATTCAGTAACAATATTTTAAAACTAATTTATGCACAGAAATCTGTATTTAGGTGAAGATATAAATAAGTCCTGTTGGTGTTCAGAAAATAAAATAAAACGAAGTAAAAACATTAACTGGTCTACGGTTTTGTTTCTGTTTGATCTCTCTCTCTGGCTCATCTCTGCCTAAAATCTAAATGTAAGCAGCTGGTTGGTCAGCATTGTTGGGAATTTAAAAATGTCATTTGTGACGAGTTACTAAACAAATACAAGTTACTGTACAAGTTAATACATTTAAAATATAAAAGGAGTATAACTGTTCCAGTATTCATTTTTTTTAAAGTACTGTAGATGAGATTTTAGCTGACAGATGTGTTGACACACCTGATCTCATAGATAATAAGTGATTAACAGGCTTCTGCAGAGCCTGCTGAGGAGCATGAAAACAAATAAAACCTGCAGAAATCATGTGGACCTCCAGGACCAGGACTGGACACCACTACTCTAAAACCTTTTCTGCATTAATGGTGCCTTTTTACATGACACATGCACTAATAAAGCTCAGGGAAGCAGATTCTTGAGCTGAAAAATCATTCAGATGTGTCATGTTTCAGCATGGTCTTGCTGAAATGTGCAAGGTCTTCTCTGAAACAAAAAAAGGTGTCTGGATGGGAGCTGTGTGTGTACTTTTCTACAGTTAGATACAGAAACTGCACATGTTTACTGTAACAGTGGCTGAGAGATTCTATGTATGTTGTGCGTAATGTTTATTTTAATCTGCCCTAATGCCCTTACTTCTGTCATTTCTTAGTATGAAATGATCTTAGTTTAAATGTAACATACAAAGATGTGCATATGTTTTCCTCCAAAGCATGTTAGGCCTTTACTCAGCCCAGATCATGATCATGTTTACAACATGAATATAATGACAGATTTGTTTTCATTCTGTTGAGGTTCAGGCGGTGCAGCCCGGTGAACAAACCGAGCGCTCCTCCCTCTGCAGTCCGAGCTGAACTGCGGGCAGGAAGGGAGAAGGGAGGAGAAAGAGGAGGAGGAGGAAGGTTGGTGGTTTACAGAACTCTGAGCTGTCGGTTGTTTTTCGCTCCAAGCTGCCTGCTGTCCGGCGGCTCGTCCTTCGATTCGAGCGGGACTTCAGAGCGCCTTCGTCGGCCTGCAGGTGAGCTGCGCCCCGCTGCCTCGGTTGGTCCGCTCTCTCTCTCTCTCTCTGCGGGGTTCTGGGCTCGCTCTCAGAGCATCACGCTGCTGTTTGTTGCTGGTCTATAATCTGTGAGTTGATTGTTGCAGCATCCATGATGAAGCGGGCTGGTTCTGGTGCAGGATGGAGCCAGAGCTGTGGTGCTGGTTCTGCTGGTTCTGGTGCAGGATGGGGGCACAGAGAACTTGTGTTGTTGTTGTTGAGCTCCAGGCTGCTGATGGCTGTGTTTCAGAACTCTGCAGCTCTCTGGTTAATCTCCTCTCTGAACTGATGGATGTTTTTGTTTTGACCTGATCTTCTGAAGGCTGAGCTGCTGCTGCTCCTGGTGAGGATGATGATGATGATGGTGGTGGTGGTGCAGGCGTGGTCGCTTGGCTGACCTGGGAACAAAAACACCAGAATATTCCTCTGACTCCTCCAGTTTTCCTGCAGGACCTTCAGACTGCAGTGACCTGTTTCTGTTTTGTCTTTCATCTCAGTTCTCTATCATCCTGAATCTTAAAATCCACATTTGTTTTCTCTTAAACCCTCTCAGATTGTGTTTGGACTCCTCCTGTGGAGGTAAATAACACACATGATGGGTTTTATTCCAGTTTTAAGCCTCTTTAAGTGAGTGAAAATGTCCCTGCAGTGACTTTTTTTTTTGGCAGATTTTCAGAACCTCAGTCTGTAAAACCAGAAACAAATCTGCAGCTTTGAGGCGTTTTCTTGTTTGCTGCAGACCAGTTTTTAAAAATCCTGTGGAGGAATTATGTAACCAGATCCAGGCTGGACTGCTTTTCCTTAATCTCCCCCCACATTTCTTTTATCTCTACTCAGTTTTCCCTTCTCAGTTTAGAGAATCTCTTCTCTTTTTTTTCAGTTTTTTTCTTCATCTTCCTCCCTCTTCCTCCTCCTCAGACCCACTTTTCATCAAACAATTGTGGACTTGTTGAGGGGAGGCTTTAAAATGTCGCAGGAAGGTGTTGGTTTGTTCTCCTGCTGCTGTAAAACCACTGACTGAAGCATAAAAGAAATTTGAAACCTATAAAACTCCCTTTATGTCCTGAAAATAAAAGGCCAAAGTTTTAGTCTTCGTCCTCCAATGTCTTTTTATGAACAAGTTGTAAATTGTTTTGTGAATAAATAATACAGGAAAAACTCAAAATCAGAGTTTTTCTTTGCTTTTTGTCACTTCTGTTTTCAAGCTGAATAAATATATTTATATCTTTTCAGAACAGTTTAAAAAAACTATAAATCAGATGAATTTTAGCTTCTGCAGGACAGAGAGTTTCTTTCTACTGTTTGAATCACATTAAAGGGGCAGATATCGTGTTCCCGCCCACTAAGTCTGATCTGCTCTGATTGGTCGGTTTCTTTGGCCTGAACAGGCTCCGCCCACTGCTTTTCTTTGAAAGTTGCTGATCTTTGCTGATGTCCTATTTTATTTCATTGGATTCAAACTCCACAGACCAACACGAGTCATCACATTTTTGTTGTTTTTATTGTTTTCTGTTAAACGTTTAACAATTGAAGCAGGATATCTGTATTTTTAATTTGGGAGAAATTATGTTGGTCTGAGGGAAGATGTCTTTAAATTTTAGAGTTTTACTGATCCTCCAATCAGTGTCAGACCCAAAGTAAATTGGTTACTGTTCAGACCTGACGCTAAATATCCATCTTGAGTGAAAGTGGTTGAGTCTGGTTGAAAGGCAGTAACAGAACCTCAAATCATTCACCAGGTCACATTGTCAGCTAAACAATAAATATAATGTCTTGTAAAAAAAATGCAGTCCAGGATGGACTGTGTTCAGACTGTCAAACCTACAGGAGTCAAGACGCCGCCGGAAAACATTTTCAGTATTGAGGCCTTTCACTACTATATTCCACTCTATTCAAAAGCTGGAGGTTGTATCTCATCGAGATGTTACTTTTGGGAACTAATTGGAGACACAAACTTTGAAAAAAAAAAAAAACACAATTTCTCACTTAGTTACATCAAACATTTTTGCACAAACTCTGTGAAATTTGGAACAAAATTTGTGGAGATTGTGGCACCATTATTGATAAATTTAGCTCTAGCGTTCTAAAATCTAAGGCAGTAGTTCCCAAACTTTTTATCTTCTGACCCACAAAATATCCATGGCAAAAACTTGTGACCCCAAATATTACTGGTCTGAGTACACGAACTTTGTTAAT